CCCTCACCGTTCCCGCTCCCTCAGCCCCCGGGCCGTTCCCAGGGCGGCCGCCAGGGGGCTCCGGGCGCTGCCCGCGCGCAGCCAATCGGGCGGCGTGGGCGGGGCCGGCCGTTCTCGCGCGCGGGGGTGGGCGGGGCTTGCTGTGTGTCGGGGCGCGCGGGGCTCCTCCCGCTGCCTCCTCCCTCTCCTCCCTCCTCTCTCCTCCTCCCGCTCCTCTCGCCGGCTCCTCACTCCACCTCCTTCCTCCCGCTCCTCCCTCCTCTCTTCTCCTCCGGCTCCTCCCGCTCCTCTCGCCGGCTTCTCACTCCACCTCCTTCCTCCCGCTCCTCCCGGGGCGGGCGCTCCGGCCGCGGCCGTGTCAGCGTAGCCACGGCAGCAGCGAGCATGTCCTCCAGTCGGGCCAAGAAAGTGAAGATGGCCACCAAGTCCTGCCCCGAGTGCGACCAGCAGGTGAGCGGCTGCCGGCGGAGCGCTGGGCTGCGGAGGGCGGAGCGGGCTCCGTGCGGCTGCCGGTCGGTGTTTGTGTGAACTAAATGGTTGTTGCCTTTGCATCTTGTGCGTGGAATGTGGCTTGAACACAGCGTCCCTCTGGCAGGGTCGTGGAGTAGTTGTATTGTGCTGAGGGGTTTCTGCGCCGCTGCAGAACCTCTTGTTTATGTGCTGGTGTTGTTTAGTAATTGTGTGATCTGTTAAAAATACAGTGAACCGGGTGGTTTATGTAATGCAGTTTGCCCTCCGGATGGCTAATGTGCCCAGGGCTGGTGGGAGAGGGCTCAGAGGTGTTGTTGTTCCATGGGGTGGTTCGGAAGCAGCGATATCGAGACCTTTGGTGCAATTCGTGCCCGGCTCCCGAGTGCCCGTGTCCCTCTGCGGGCTCCTGGTGTGCACAAAATGGAGCTGCTCACACTCACACACGGCTGCTCTGCACCGCTGCCGTGTCAGGAGCGTCTTTTCTGTGCATTTAGTGCGGATGATGTGAGTATTAGAGGCGGGCGGGTTCGTTCCAGCGGGGCTCCGAACAATGGCCCGGCGCTGCCGTGGGGCTCGGCCGAGGGGCAGCGCTGCCGCAGGCACTCCCGGGGACATCGGTGACCCTGGGATGTTACCCCTATCCGCCGGATTAGCCATACTTAGGAAAAAAAAAAAAATAGCCTCATATAATTTTTCTCTACATGCATAGGTTTTTAGAAAATCACATTTTTTGTTCTGGCTTGTATAGTTTTTACAGTATTCCTACTCATCCTGGCACAGTCGGGAGTGCTGAGCTGTGTGTGGGCGTCCTTTCATGTTTTAACCAACGGATCAACCGCTGCAAATGCACGTTAAGCACGTCACTGAAATACTATTTCTGAGAAAGGAATCGTGTGCCAAGTTCTGGTTATTCAGCTGGTGAAAAGAGAAACGAAAACGAGGGAGAAGTCATAGATGAGAGTGCTGGTGTTTTTGTTTGTTTTTGGTTTTTAAAATAAGTGTAATGAATGTCAAATTACCAACAATAAGTAAGCAAACGTTGGAGGCTTTTTAGGCTGATGTGAAAACTGTCTCTTTGTTCTGCACTTATACGTATATCATGAGTTCTAGTTTTTGTCAATGTAGATTTTCCTGTTAGCAGCTCTCCTGTGGCTTACATGGATTTTATGTGCTTATATGTCCTGCGCTGGCACACATTGCTCATAGGACCTTGTTTTCCACTGCCAAATATTTGAGAGGGAGCAAGGAGCTAAGGCCTACAGTTCAAGTCAACCCTTTGCAGATTTTGAGGAAACGCTTATAAAATTTTTAACTGACTGTGTCCTGTAGTGGTGTTTCTTAAATTCTTCCATAAGCGAGGGCTTAGCATTTGTTTCTGATTTTTTCAGAAGTGGCATGCATGGAAATATTTAGACAGTCACAATTATTGGAGCAAAATACTGAGTAACACTTCTTGACTTCAAAACATTTTTCTGCTGTAATTTAAATAATATATAATATTTCAGTATTTTCACAATCAGAGCACAGGTCCATTAAACTAGGGAGCCTGAAGTACTTGCAGTCAGTCTGAGGAAATAATTATCACGTCTTAATCTAGTATCAGGTAAAATGTCTTGTATGAGAAAATTTTCGTTAGGAATATGTTAAACAGCGTGAAATAGTGTTTAGGACTCTGTTGCCTTAATTATGTTGCATGATGTTATCAGTGTGGGTCTTCAAAGGATAACTGATAGGTTTCAGTGATAAACCCCTTCCCCCAGGCCCCCCACCCTCAAATGGTGCACACCCCTGCGTGCTAAACCTGTAACACGAGAACAGTATTGTTCTGTTAAACACACTCGAGTTCCCTGAAAAATACTGACTCTGTTCCAATCCCCTTGGGTGGCTTTCCCAAAGCTGTTTTTTTATATATTTTTTTTTTTTTTAGGCCAAGCCTGGAAAGGTAATTATTGGAGAGACCCAAGTGTTCAGAAATGGATTTAGGTGGAATTCTGTATCACCTTAAGAACGCACAAATTATCTGTGAGATAGGGGGGTTTAGTACTGCTACACTGATATATGAACAAGGAGACAAACGTGCACACAAGTCTGCTAAATGCTGACCTTTAAAGTTCAATAAACCTCTATTTGACTCATTTTTATTATGTCAGTGTCTCCATAAAGGGAGTTAAAATCTCTAGTTCTGCAAAACCTGTATCAAAAAGTCTATCTGTAGGCTTTTTGTAGGGTGAAATGCAGGAGCTGAGATGTGCTAAAGAAAGCAAAATAATTTGTTTATTCTGACTAGCAGTTAAGTTCCCCTTTACAAATTGACGTACTAATTTGGCAGGGTTTTTTGAGTCAGTAGAACTTTGGAACTTGGTTCTTTTCCACCTCTGGTTAAATTGAGGAGGCAGATGTGGTTCTGTTCTCCTGTTTATTTCAGTGGACATTGGCAAACTTGTAGTGACCTGTCTTAAAGAATTACATTTGAGAAATTACCTCCTGCCTTTTTCCCCCCACTATCATGCTTCAGCATGACTCCACTTTAATGTGTGTTCTTTAATCTCTTCCAGATCTCTGCCTAAACTTGCTTTGATTTGTGTTTTCAGTCTTAAACCTAATCAAAGCAACATGGTGTATGCCTTACTACTCTAAAAGATCTCAACAGAGCTTGGTTCTACTGTAATGAGTTTTGTAATTTATCAGTGTTGCTTTTTTTAAATGGCTCTGGGTGGATATTTGTTATTTTTCATATTAAATATGGCATTTCTTGTTTTACATTGTTATTTTCTGGGGGAGCATTCTGCTTAGCTGATCAGAGGCACTGTATTCTCTCAAACTCCTGGGCCTTCAGTCAGTTCTTGCCTGGCTGGGCTGGGTTATTTGCATTTTGAATTAACGAGGTCCTTCTGTACCCACCCGGCCTTGTCAGCAGCGCTGGAGCAGAGTGTGCTACAAATGCATCTGTTTTGCTTCAGGCTCTATTGTGCCTCTGAAGCTGCTCCTCTCTAAAGGAGCTGCTTTCAAATGCTGCTGAAAGTGAATGCATTCACAACCTACTGATGGTTTTAACTCATAATTATTTTTTTTACAAGTAGAGGAAGCACAACTGGAAATGTCTGACTGATTTGACTGCTGATATTTCAGCGCTCTGAAGAGAAATTGTAATTCTATTTTAATTCAGCCTTCCTTTAATGCTCTCTGCTTTCCCCCACCCCCTTCCTGTCAGTCTGGGGAAAAGCAGTGCAAAGCAATAACAACAGCTGTACATTTCAAGCTTGAGTTTTAACAACTGCATAAAGAAAAGGCTTGGTGAGTGATTCACAGCAGAACCTGGTTTTATGTTTAAATACAGTGACAGGATGTAGTTTGCAGTGCAGACTGAGTTTGAATAGTTATCTCTGAGGACAAAATGTGAGTTACTAAGTGTGTTTTTTCTTCATGGGACAGGAGTTTTGTCATAATTTGAAATTACCTGAAAAATTTGTGTTTTGTTTTTCCAGGTTCCTGTTGCATGTAAATCATGTCCCTGTGGCTACATATTTATCAGTCGGAAACTCTTGCACGCTAAACGTGCTGAGAGATCACCACCCATCACAGGTAATACTTAGAGAGGGGGGAGAAGGGAGCAACACTTCTTAGCCCTTATTTCCTGGAGACAAAAGATAGTGTTTTATTTTTCTGTGTAAATTAACTGTTCTCAGTTCACTTTCCCTTGAATTTGTGCATGGTAGACTTCAAATATGTTATTTTTTCTTGAATTTTGAAGAGAAGAGGAAAGCTGGTGTTTTCAGTCTTCCTTTGTACTTGTGGTGTTGGCATTTATTCTGTGTATGTTCTAGCTGCACACATTGATCACTATGCAAAATAAACCCTTAGAGAACACTTTGTGTTAATCTTGTTTTGAAGCTAAATGTGTAGAGGTCCCAGAAGGATTTGATTTCAGAGCACATGCTGATTGAAGCTGGGTTTTCAGAAAATAAAAAATTGGTCATAATGTTTAATCTAAAACTGGGTGGATCTTGTTTCTGTCTTCATGATTAAATTAAATAGTGCTTTTTTTGTGCCTGACTTGTGTGTCTTTTGTTGGTGGACACAGTAAGAAGTCAGTTGAATGTGCTTTCTGGCATGAATAGCATTCTCCTTGTGTTTATTTATATCACTTCCTCCAGTAGTAGGAATTAGTCAGAAAAAGAGCCTGAAAGGGAAGATATATATTAAAAAACCCCCAAAAAACCTGGCCCCAAACCCAACAGATATCTGATCTATAATATGTACTTTTTAAAATCGTCTACCAGACCTACAAGATAGAAGTCAGTTATTTGATGTTTTGTATCAATGTTTTGAAGGGTGGCTGTAGATTGCCACTTGGAGGAATTGGGTGTCATGCATTTATGAACTGAACTTTCAAGGTGGAGGAGGTTAAGAAATGTGTGTGGTAGATTATCAGTGTTGGTCAATTTTCTTTCCTCTTCTTGCTCTTTTTGATAAAGTAGTTACCAAATGAAGCTGAAGGCCTTAATCTGGTTGTATAATTCAGCTTTGTACAGAGGAAATGCTCCAGGGGAGGCAAAATGAATGTATACTGGGGGCCATCCTGCTGGAAAGCAGCTCTGGAAAGTGCTTTCTACTGTGGGTGTTAGCAAGCACTGGCAAAGGCTGTCCAAGAGGTTGAGTCTCCATCCTTGGAGGTACTCAAAAGCCTTCTGGACATGGTCCTGGGCGGCTGGCTCTTGGTGGCCCTGTGTGAGCAGGGACTAGGCAGGGTCTGAAGAGGTTCCCCTGCTACCTCACCCTGGCTGTGACGCTGAAATACAGGTTCTGTATGAGCATTAGTGACTGTCCAGCCTATACTGTGTCTGTGCAAGATTAATGGGATAACTGCAGCCAAAGGAAATCAGCTCCCCAGAGAGATACAGTATGAGACTGTGTGTCTATATTGTGCTCCTAAGGTGACCACAACTTCTTCTAGAAAATGTTGTTCAGTATTTTCAGCAGTACAGCTACTGTAGAGTGATGCTGCAGCCTTACAAGTGTGCAGCTAATCCAGGAGTGTGCTGTGGTGATTGCACTATATTTGGTGCCCAAGCTCATTAATTCATACTTAGCTTTCAGATAAAACTCATGTAAATACTCTTTTCTTTTAAGATTTTGGTGTTTAGGAAGGCCATACACCTGTTCAGCAGTGAGCATGAGGGGGCCTTGTCACAGGTTGGATGTGTTGGGACACATTCTCTGTGTTGTGTGGCATTTACTGACAGCACTGTTGGCAGCATTTATCTGAGAAGCAGCAATGATCTCAGTATCATAAGAAGCCCAAGTGCTGTGGTGTTTGTATGATAAACTTTTGCTAGTGGAACAGATACAATGGGGTGTCTTAAAGGCATCACAAGGTGTGCAGTGTTCCCATCTTATTTGAGAAACAGCTTCCTGTGTACCAGCAAACATCTCATGCTGCAAAATGCGTTTGAAGTAATTGAAAGGTTGATCCTTGGAATGAAGAAGTGAAGCGTCCTTCTGGATCTGGCACCTTAATTTCTGCATGGATATCGTGCAGATGCAATTGTTCTATAAAGGTATAGGCATCTGACCACTTTAAAGAGAAAGGTTGATTGGGGGGTAAGCATTAAATGAAGAACAAAGAGAACAGCCCTGGATCATGCCATTTCTGTTCATTTGCACAGAAAACAAGAGTGAGGCCAAAAGGAGGCGGACAGAGAGAGTTAAGCGAGAGAAGATAAACTCTGCAGTAAATAAAGACTTAGAAAACCGAAAAAGATCCAGGTCTAACAGCCATTCAGATCATAGCAGACGAGGAAGAGGAAGACCTAAGAGTGCCTCAGCGAAAAAGCACGAGGAAGAAAGAGGTATGAGAGCTGGAGAAATCTGTTTGTTGGATTTTCTATTTGTATCTTTTTTAATCAGTAAACCTTTATACCATTCAAAACATTCAACTAGACTAGTTCAGCCAGTACCTGATACCTTAATGTGGGGAAGGGACTGATTTGCATGTAGAGACCTCTGGTTTTATGTTTCAGTGTCTGATGAAACTAACTACAAAGATCTAAATCTGTATTTTTAGCCACTGTATCAAGTTTCAACATGTAGGTTGAAAGCCGTTGGACTGAAGTGTTAGGTAGGTTTTTTATTGTTTTTTTGTTGAGGTGCTGCTGCTCTGTATCACAAACACAAACCATATAATGATATCTGTTGTCAGAGAGGAGACTAGGATGACTGGATTACTTAAAAAGTTCCTTGAAACCTTCTGGAGGGCCAAAGTAAAAAGGACATCTTCAATCTACTATGACCTGAATTTTGGTCCCATGTTTGTGGAGGAAAGAATTCCTCCTTGCCTGCTAAGGTTCCTTGGTGACCTGCTGTTTTTAACCATTATACAGTAAAGAGGCTGTTACGTAGCTGGAGTAATTCTAGAACCCCTCAAGAATGTAACTGTCTCTTTGGGTTCCTCTTGCTTTAAGAGCCTATTGACACTGCATTTGCTAGCTGTGTTTTTGGAGATAATAATTTTAGACCTGAATTATGAATCCAAAATTTATCATGGGCTTCAGAAGGTTGGAAGGCAGATAAAAGGGGAATAACAAGACTTCATACAAATATTCAGCAGATATTGTTCCTAAAACTCCTGAAGTATATCATGTGGCATTACTCAGAAATGCATTTCTTCCTTTCCACCTTAAAAAAAGTGTTAATCCATGTTGAAAATTCCTTTAATTTCTGACTTCTCAGAACCGATTTTGATATCTCTGCTGTATAATGTAAATCTGTTTCTTAATGTTTCTTTAATGTAAAAAAACAGGCATAAATTTGGAATTGTTGGGGGTTTTTTTAGTGCTTTCAATGTGGGAAGAAGAGGTGGAATTTAGTTTCTGTATATTTTCCAGATGGCAATTGTTTTACTGTAATAGAAATGCACTTTGTAGTATCTAATCTCTTCACTATTGCACGTGGCTCATTGATGTAACTTCCCTATTTTTTAGTGACCTAAGCTGGACTTTCTCTCGTAGCTTTAGGATCTTTTCTAGGCATTTAACTGCCAGTCTAGTTCACAAGCAAGCTTGGTTTTAGAATTCCAGCGAACTGGTTGGGTTGTCCTATAAAAGTGAATCTTCTTTTCTGTCCCTTGACAAGAGGAAAGCAAGCTAAGCAGCCAAAGGAAAAGATTTTTTTTATTTTTTTTTTTTAAGACATGTTTCATAGTTTCCAAAAAGCAAGATTTTGACAGCAGGAGGCATATTTAGAGAACATGTTTTCCTATCCAAAACTAGGCTGAACATTTCTAACCTCTTGCTGCAAACTCCAAAGTGTGACAATACTGCAGTGCTTTGAGGCAGAAGACTGGAGATCTGGATATAGTGAGATCTTTGCATAAGAGCGTGCATGGGGTGCCTTTTCTTGGTGTTTTCTTAAAGTTTGATGTTACTTGATAAGATTGCCTTCATCTTCTAGTGCTGTTTTTACCATCCCTTTTCCTTGATCTTGTGATGGCTGTTTCTTCCTCAGCCTCCTGTGCAGGGATTTGGCTCACACCCATTTGTCATTGTCTTTGCCCCAGTGCAGCTCATCTTATTGTTCAGGAGTAAGAAGAGTTAAAATATTTTCTTACTTCTGATTATGTCAGACTGTAATGTGTGTAGAGCACTGTGATGATTAACAGGCAGATTTTAAAAAAGGCTATCATGGCTATAAAATTCAGCAGGGAACTCATCCTTTTGTAAGTAATTACTGAAACAAGTTAACATTGACCTCTCCCTTTTCAAGTTGCTTACAAAATTGAAACTATTATGTGTGGAGTAATTAGCAGGAATTTTAGAAAGATTTTTCCTTTACCACAGCTCCTGCTTGATAGTGTTGTTCGTGTATATTAAGCAACTATAATTCTACTACAGTTAAGGTGGTTTTTGTGTGAATGGTTGCTAGTCCTTGTAGCAGTCTGTGTGTGTTGAAAGTGGAGTGCAAGATGCCAGTATCTTATTTCCTTGCCTGTTGTTTGTGTCGAGGATATTTTGGGTATGTGTTACTTGCCACTAGAAGTTGTACTTTTGCCCCAAAGACTTGAAAAGGAGCCACTGCTTGCATGGGTATTTAAATATTTGGTTCCTAATCTATTTGTAGATGGAAAAACAGGCAGACAGAAAACACCTCAGTTGTATTAACATGGAAAAAGAGATAATTTGTACATTTGAAGAACATCCAGTTGTGAAAATTTCCTTCCTAAAGACCCTGCTGAGGGTAGCTTTTGTAGCATCTGTAGCTTTGCTTCCTTGCTTGCCATGCAATTCCATGCACAGAGTGCTTGTTCCTAGTTATGTCTGTGCCTTTGACTGGTTCTTTTGTGTCCTTCGTGACTGGCTCACATTAATGCAAAGAGCTGCAGCAATTAAGAAGAATAGAATAAGCAAAAAGGCTTTTCAAAACAAGCTCTTTTCCCTGCAGATTTAGCAAGAAGGAATGGAGGGGGAGGAAAGAGGAAGCAGATGTAGATGGAGGGGATATGACAGTACTGGGACCCAGAAAATGATCCCATCATGTGTTTCAGAGCCGTGTGATGACCCTGGAAAATAGGAACTTCTCTCTGCAGCCTTGGCTTGTCAAAATTGTCTCTTAATTTATTTGTCATATGTACTATAATATATTTTGAAAATACAAACACTCTATAATAATTTGACTCTGATTTTGTTGTGAAGGTGTGTTCTTTGTTTTACTGTGTGGGACGTGACACACAGCTAGACTGGTTCCCAGGTTGCCTTGTTATCTGGGTAATAACCCTGAATGTGTGTGTTTGTAAAGCAAACAAGAACCTTATATACTGGAGGAAGTGGTATTGCTTATTCTGAAAGAGGTTCCCAGCAGGCAAGTCTCAGTAAGAGTAGTACACTTTATAAAGCAGACTTGTTACTTAGCAAGCCAAATCTTCATAAAGGTATTACATACATACATTTCAGTATCCTGATAAAACATAAGCTGAATGCATTTTCTTGATGCAAGTTTTCTTTTTCCAGTATTTTTCAGCTGCATTACTCACACATTTGCTTGCCCAATACTCACTCATTTGCTTGCCCAATGTGCATATTTGAAGTAACTTGCTCTCTTGAAAAATGAATCCATATAAAATGTGTGAAGGAATCATATATGTGATTTATAACTAATCAGTTTTAAGGGCTGCAGTATAAGGGGGTTGCAAGAGACATGATCCAGAAAAACTAGTTTTGCCTACATGGCCTCTTAGTTGTTTAGCAAACACCCTAATTTTTAATGTCTTACTGTCTTGTAGAAACAATACTATTTTTCTTTTGCTCATAATAGAGAAATGAGTCAAAACTACTGTCAGATAAGACTGAAGTGGAAAGTTTTCAGTGTGGTATGCTAGGAGTAGTGTATGATAAAATGTCATGCAGATGTGAGCTCTTCACGTGTTACTGATGAGAATTACAATTGTCCTGAGAGTGCATGAAGCTTGCACATGAAGCTGGTGTTAATCCCTCTTTCTCTTTGATACCAAGATTTCAGTAAGATGAAGTCCCAGAATAAGACTGATCTGGGAGGAAGGGAAACTAAGAAGTCCAGAGTCTGTTAACAGCACCAGGGTGTGGTGCAGGAGGACTATTATTTTTAATTTTGCTGGGTGCTGATATGTTCAAGTTGTTGCTGGATTCGTTTGGATCAGGAAGTATGGAGCAAGGGGTGGGGCTTAGATATGAAAACAGAAAAGGTTAATGTGGAATAACCAGTGTGTGTAGTGTCTGTGCTCAGAACAACTCCCAGCATTGTTAATTTTTAAATGGTGAGAGGGAGGAAGTGGAACAACCCGGAGTGTACCTACAGAAGCTGATTTGTCTTAAACTGTGGGATAGGACTGGCAGTGAAGCTCACTTTCAAACTCATTTCAAACTCAATACACTAGAGGATATTGCCTTGCATGGCCAGGAAGTCAGCAAAAAGCTGGGTTCTGCTGTTTTTGTATCAGTGTTACATCAGAACACCGTGGTAAAGGATTTTGGAGCTTCTCCCACTTAGTTGTTGAACACAAGCTCCTGATTGCACACGGCAGGCAGTCTGCTGGAGCTGTCTGCATAGCTGTAACTCCAATGTGAAGCCAGATCTAAAACCATTGCTATGAGTGTGAACCCATTGAGGGGTAACCCTGTGGGTAGGTGAGGATAGTTGATGCTGGGATTTTTTCCTTATGGTGCTTTCTGTTATTTTCCTGTGCTGCCTTTTCTTTGGCATTCCCATGCTGGTTTAGGTGTCTTGGTGGAGCAGGTGCCAGGGTGTGGACATGTGTGACTGTGTGTTAGTGAGACAGAGGGGTCTCTCAGGTGAGCTTTGTGTTGAGATTGTAAATGAGTCCTGGATTGGAGATCCACAGCTCAAAGGTCTGAATGTATTTCTCTTCCTTTGGTCTACAAGCCTGGTCTTCTTCTGACAACTGTTTCTTTGTTGGCTTTATTTTCTTAACAATTTGTGTCAGCTACCTGTGGCTAGCTAAACTGGGATAGAGCTAGTCATGATCTGGAGGAGGTGGTATTTATGAAAGTGGTATTTTTCAAATTGTCTTATTTTCTGAATTTTTGTAGTGTAACTTAGTTTATTTGAGCACTGCAGAACAAAACCTTTTTGATGGCTTCCTGTTGTGTCTGTGGCATTGAAGCAAGCCAGCATCAGCACAGGGAGCTCATGGGCTTTTACCTGCTCGGTGAGGTATTAGGTTTGTTCTACAGCTGGGATAAGATGGAAGGCAGTGTAGAAAGTCCGGAAATGTGCATGATGATAAATTTGGAACCTGAATCCATCCAAGTATCTGCTCTTTGGCCTTTGACACTGTCATTAAACTCATGGGTTTCTTTCATGTAGTTGTAAAGTAAGGGGGCAAATTGTGTGTTTAGTGGGGATATTGTAAGATAACTTTGTTTTCTTGGTTGGGAGGTGGTTATGTAAAAGAAAAAAACCCAAACCGCTAAAACCAGGAAAAAAAATCCTGAAGGAACACTTGAATACTTGTTTATCTTTATGTTAACGACTCATTCTTCCTTTGTTAAAGAAATTCAGTCATGCTTTTGTCTGACTCATTCTGTAGCTCTTCCAGCACCTTTGTGTGCCTCTATTACTTCCTCCTCTTTCTCACTCCCCCTGTGCATAGGAGTTGATTGTCTAACTTCAGTTCCTCTACTTCTCATAATTTATTAATTTCTGAGTAACTTGCATTAACTTCGAATAATGGAAAAAGCTTCTAACAATGACTTTTTTTTCTTCTACAGAGAAACAAGAAAAAGAAGTTGACATGTATGCTAACCTTTCAGATGAAAAGGCCTTCGTATTTTCAGTGGCCTTGGCGGAAATAAACAGAAAAATTATCAATCAAAGACTTATTCTGTAACTTGTGAGCACAATCTGATGCAGTTTTATGCAGGATGGCCAGCAGACTTCCAAGGTGCCATGGACTCTCGGAAAGTGTGTTGTCTGCACCAACAAGGACTATAGCATTTCCTGTTAAAATTCTACTCCTGTTCTTGGAAATCAAATTCTGTCTCCACAAGTCAGAAAGAAAGTGGTTGTGCTGTGAAAAATCAGAAAGCAGACGTGTTTCATGCCTTGAAGACAAATGCTAGACAAATGCACAGAGAGACTGCACCCATTCCAGAGCACTTCTTTTGAATTTGCTGCCAGAAATGCAATATTTTAAGTATTTTCAGAAATAAATAATTTTCCTTTAAAATTATATATTTCAGATTTTTCAGCTATATTGCAGTTTATGTATGTACAGTTCACATAACTTTTTAATAAATTGATATCCTAGTATTTTATTGAACTGAGAATTAAGTACATTTGTGATACTCAGGGTGTGTTGGTTTTAATCCTCTTACAAATCTGACATTCATCCTAGGTATGACTTCAGTTTTACTTTTTTAATAGGTGTGATATAATTCTGGTAGGAAGAAAATTAAAGTGGTTTAATTTGGGAGGATTATTTTGCTAGACAACTTCCTATTTTTATGAATTATCTCTAGAAAATAATTTCTTAGAGCTCCATAGAGTTGTCTTTTATAAGTTATATACTTCGGGGGTCAGACTCCTGAAATTTGAGAGCCAAGCACTTGTTTTGTGACAATTATTTGCTGAATATCTGCCTTGTCCAACTGGTAAGTTCTTGTCCCCTAGTCTTTCTTGGCCCATTATTTACTGGAGAGGGAGAGAAGGAGACATCAGAAATGTAGATCTGCAGTTGGCATCCTGTGACTGGTATTTCCAAAGCAGGAGGATGTGGTAGTTCCTTTTACTCCCCATAGCTTTTTTTGGTCTGACTTTTAAAAGCATAATTCTTACTGGTATTGTTTGGATTGCTGAGTGTAAATACCTAAGCAAAGTCTACCTTGGTGTGCAAAAATGAGCTGTTTTCATAGAAATAGTTCTGGGGGAAACATGCAACAGAGTAGTCTTTCTTAAAGTGGTATAGTGCAATTTCAGCCAAAACTCTTCTTTTAGTAACTATATGGGGGCTTTATTTTACCAAGAAAAAGCCCCAAAGCCTCAAGCTGTGTAAAATCCTAAGGAAGGAGGTGTAGGAGATAATTACGTTCATAAAATCTGTCACACTGGGGTTTAGTCACCTTTCATTTGCTCTATTCTAGGAGGGGAAATGCAACTAAATGTCATTTTCTTCAGTATCACTGGTGCTTTTCAATACCACATTGAGTAATGAGAATTGCCTAATGAGGTTCAGCTACAGAACTGATCTCTGGCTGGAAGCCAAAGTGTTTATTAATAAAGCTGGACTATCAAATACTGGCTGATTATTAGTTACTGATTAACAGAAGGAGCTGTGCTAGCTTCGAGTTAAGCCACAAGGCACTGATCAAATGCAGGCTGTAAGTAAAAGCAGGGAACATGGAAAGTGGTTTTTACTTCTGAACTCCTAAGGAATAATTTGCATCCTTATTAACACTGGATGAGAGAGATGGTGTGGATATGTGCTTAAGCCACTAAAAGACATTTGTCTTTACTCCAGTAAATGAGAAGTTGTAAATACAAGACCTACTTCTCTGCACCATTGAACTTGTGCTTCACAGAGCTGGAGCCTGTCACAGACACCAGTAGTAAGGACAGATGAGTCAATCTTTAGGATAGAGAATATGTTTCCATGGTAAGTTGGTCAAGTGACAAAAGGGAAATTGTGACTTAAGGATATGATCAGGCTGGTGTTGCTCCCGTTGCTGGAATGGGATGTGCTGTATTGGGAAGGGACAGAGGGAGCTGCCAGTGCAGTCTCTTTGGTGCTCTGACCTGCTTTCCTACAGGTTTCTGTCTCTCTGCTCCTGCACATGGAATTAGTTACCAGCACAGAACTGAAGTTAATATTGTTGGATGTGAGAAAACTGTTAGTTAATTTCTGCATTTAGAGTGGTCCCTTTTCTAATCAGTACTTTTGAAAAACATATTCATACCTCTCAAATGTGCAAGGCCATTTTTTCTCCTTCATTGGTGGAGGCTCTCCTGAAACAGTGGTTGAGTTCTATTTCTGTATTTCTTCCCTTTGTAACCCCCAGGTCTCTTCTGTCACCTCTTTCCCACATATCCTCATGCTACTTTTCTTCCTTGAGAGCTTCCAGTTTCTTTGAGAAAGCTGTGATGGAAGCAGGTGGCCTTGGAAACACCCTAGGGAGGGAGAGGGTCTTTGCCAGGGGATTTGGCAAAGCAAGAAATCTGACTTTCTCTTCGCACTAACCAGAAACAAGCCATTCTTTCCTGTATAGACAGGGCATTTCAGCCTCTTCCAAAAGCCCTGGTAACTGTGGTGTGCCAAGACAGATTTCTTGGAACATATTCAGTAACTGAGTTGGAAAGTATCTGCTTTGTACAAAATAGGCATCAACGTGATGGATCTCAAGAGCTCTTTCTTCTGTGTGTTAGAGATGATCCATGGAGGATACATTGGCAAATCACTGTAGATTATAATTGTAAATTGTATTTGTTCTTGGTCTATGAAACTAAAATAAAGCCAGTGACAGCTGAATGATGAAAGAGTAAAATTCTGTGTACTGCAGCTCTGACTTGCTTGGAAACTGCATAGTTTCTGAGAAGCAAGAATAAATATGGTAAAGCTTCAGGAAGTTGCTTACGTGCAGGTTTTTTTGGGACTCAAAGTTTCAGTGTAAGATTTTAGGCTCTGCCTTTGACTGTCATTGTGGTTCAGGCTGACTTCATTTGTTTCACTTCATTTTTTATAGCCTGCAACCTCACACGGAAAATTAGTCTTTCAGTAAAATTGAATTAGTCTGAAAATTCACTAATTCTAACACTAAAATTCGCTAATTTTTAATGAACAAAAGAAGATGAAGTGCCACTGCACCTCTGTACACGTTGACTTGCCTGACTGGATAAACTTTGTTGTGACCTAAATAGTTAAGGATTGTATTGGGAACTGTCTCTTCGTAAACAGCCTTTTAACAAGTTCTGCTTTCTGCCACTTCTTTTTAATTTTTTCCCTTGAAGATCTGTGCTTCATATGTGTAATAGCATTCCTGACCATCAAGTGGGCTCACAGTTCAAATTTTGGCTTGAGATTTCTCTGCATTTCCTCTGCTCTGCTCCTAGATGGCAGCCGTATTCTGAACAGCTCACTGGTGCTCAGGCATTCTCACCACGGACACCAGGAGCAGGAGAATGTTTAGTTTTCAGTGAAACCAACCTCAAAGATTCTTTTTCTTTAGAGCATCACTCCTACCTAACATGGGAAGTTAAGATCCTGCTAATGGGTGTTGCTGGCTGCCTGCACTGAAACATTTCTTCATCGCTTGTGTGGGACATCAGTTCTTGAGGTGTGAGGTTTGGTGGGGTTGTATGATTTGTTAGGACCAGAGAGTTCTGAACTTCAAATTAGCAATCAAATAGAAAATTGTTTAAGGAAACTCTTCACCTCCCCTGGAAGTCCCCTGGAAGTTTTCTTTAGTCAAATTTTATAAACATCTTTTAATTGTCAAGTTATTTTTGTTCTGATGCTGTTATGGTTGATTAAAATGAATTGAATTGAGACAAGGTATTGGGGAATCCTTTGCAGATTAGCACTGCCCTGTGGTTGGGCAGGATTTCTTGAGAAATAAACTGAAAATGAGATACTGGCTTTGAATAACAGTTCCCAAACAAGGTTTTTACTTTGGTTTTACGTAGTGCTTTTTGATTTATTTTTCTCTTTTGTAGTTTTCCTCGGGTTTGGGGTGTTTTAGAGTGAAACAGTGACCATGCAGGCTATTAGCAGCTCTGTGTTCCTTGTATCTTGGACTGTACTACCAAGGATGTTTAGTTTCTTACTGCCTACCAGGACATGGTGCTTGGCTTCTGATAACCCTTAGGGTATTGACAGCCTGTGATTAAGCAGTGTGAGCAGAAAGCTGTGTTAAGCCATGGTTTAGTTTGGGCCTGTTTGAGGAGGATCCCTGTGTGTGCATGAACATGTGCAGATGTGTTCTAACCCCTGGGTGCAGCTGTGCAAGGTTTTGTTTGCATGGGGGAGTGTGTGTGTGTTCCAAGCACATCTCATGGTACCCTGCACTTCCAGTGCTTGGATTTGCATCATGGAGTAGTCCTAGGAAGCAGGACATGACTTTTACAGGAAGATGGACCTGGAAGATTCTTCAGCTGTCAGTGGGTGTTTGGTGTGCAGGACCTGCACTTGGAGCAGTGTTGGGCTCTCGGTACCAACTGTTCCCCTCCACAGATCTGCTGTGCCTCACTTCGTGATTATTATGGAAATACAGCAGAGCCAGTGTTAACAAACAGTTCTTTCAGGTGAGTCTAAAAGCAATTTATCCTTCAAGGCACTGATAGTACTGTCAGTTTTCTGTAGTAGACTTCTCATTAATTTCACAGTGGATTCTGGCAAATCTCACTGCAGCATTCCAAGGTGTTGCTTTTCCCAGTTGTTTACCTATGCTTTAAGGACGTTGCCACTTTGGTTGCAGTGGTGGTAAGACAGCTCTAATAAATAATACAATAATTTTATTTTCTCTTTTTTAGGTTACCACTTTCAAAACAGGTTACAGAATTCTAATTCTTATCAGTATAAGTGATTAAGCAGGTTTTTGGCTGAGTTGAAGATCAGTTTTTTTCTGCATTATGGCAGATCAGACACTGCATGATTTTCACAGATTTTGTGGGTTCATAATGATCTGAAAATATCTGTGAATCAATGTACTAAAGTGTTTGGTTTTTTTTTCCCTGCACTTACTTTAAAAGGGTTTCTGGCACTGCCAGCTGTTAGTTGGGATGTGCCATTCAAGCAAGAGGCAAGAAATTGATTGGGAAGGAGGCAATGGAAGTGGATAAATCTCTGTATTTCCTTTTTTCTGCAGAAGACAACCTAAACCTGCTTTCACCAAAGTTGTTTAAAATTTCAAGGCCAGAACATGGTTCACATGAATCATTTGGTGTCATCATGGAGCATTTCCCCACAAAAAGGTCAGGTACCTCTTCTTCATCTTCCCCTCACTCCCCCCCATAAGCTGCTTTTTTTGGTGCTACTTAACTTTGTATGTCAAACCTGAGCTCTGTCTCAGTTTACTGCCTTTGGTCTTCTATTATGTGTTATTTCTCTCAATTATAACTTACTAATTTTCTTAATAAGAGTTAAAAATGAAATATTATTTTTAACCCAGGACAGTGTTGAGGACCATAGAATGCTGTTAAGAACAGTGAGTATTTCGGATACCAGGAGTACAAATATTAATAGTCTGGCAGTTTACCAAGTTTCTGTGGTTTCTGTTTTGTCCTGGAACAAACAACTTATGAATATTTAATGGAAAATATCGTGCTAATAAGGAGAACTCTTCAGCCTGAGGTCAGAGTTGCTGTGTTTGGAGAAGCTGTGGAGTGAAAGGTGTGTTTGTGTGTGTTTGGCCATGTGAGCAGGTGCAGTGATGAGAGGTGAAGTCTCTGCTCTGAAGGTGCTCTGGGACCCAGCTCCTGGTTCCCAGCAACACCAAAGAAGTGTTTCAGGGTCAGTGAACTCGCTGGAGCAAGGGGTGACCCAGGATTTCTGGTTTTCAGTAAAATGAATAAATTACTTTCCTAGCACAGCAGTGTGTAGTGTATTTGAAAATAGTGTTTATTGGTGGAGTCGACTTCTTCAGCAAATAAATTCTGATGTGTTAAAGGCCATTTCTAAGGAATGGCATACGGTTTATTAACAGCAGAGTTCAGGGATCTTTAGATCCTGACTTGTCATAACCTGCATAAGAGTGCAGTAGGTGTGAAATCTATCACACGGTGTCCTGGAGGTGGTACAGGTTTTGTTGTACAGACTCAGAGGAAAGGCACGAGTGTAAGAAACTCTGGAAAAGAGCAGTTGTTTACTGTGCATGAGCCTTTCAGCTGGGGACTATTAAAACTGAGGTGTTGGTGTGTAACCTCAGGTGAATGGAGTTAGAATAAGGCTCAATTTGTTTGAGTTCATTGCAGAACTGTGGGCTGAGGCTTAAGGTAAGAGTGCCTTTTATTGTTGCTTTCTGAAACAATGAAGGATAAAGACTGTTTCCTGTCATCTTAGAAAACTAACAAAGATCTCTGTTCTTTAGGACAGAGCAATTCCAAAGGAGGAAAAGTGGTGCAGGAAGTTAGGAAATGCTCAAGACAGAGGTGTTTTGAGTCGTGGCCAGATACTGATTCAGAGCCTGATCCTGAGGTAGTTCTACCTCTGATTGTGCTGACAAACAAGGAACTAAATTAGAAACTGTAAAAAAATGTGTTTTTTAATTGCACAAGTAGAATTCCCTTCTAAACTATCTTGAGTTTAGAAGATGAGCATTAGAATTTACTTTTAAGATTTTTTTACAAAGGTCTTGACATCCGGTGAAAGGTTTTCAAAAAGGCACTTTTAAAACAAATGTTTGATTTATCTGAATGATCACAATTATTATTTCTAACACTTACAAAGAGGAATGTTTTGAAAATAGTACCTCAAAGCAGTGTCTAATGGGCTGAGTGGAGATTGAACAAGAAGCCTAATTTAGATAAACACTAATAGCAGCATTCTGAAATAAAACCTGAGTGTTCTCAGAGGGAACAGCGTCCTGCAGCATTAGGATTACTCATGGGTCTGGTCATCTCGAGATCTATTTTTCTTTCATTGTTGCTCACACCCATTTTAAGAAGATTGGGAGTCTCATCCAAGATATTCAGCTTACATTTCTTGACGCTGACCAAATTCCAAACTTGGCAGCTGTGGTGCTGTTGCTTACAACAGTGGCAGGGCTGCCTCTGGCACAGTTACTTAGCAACAGGGAAGCTCACGTTTGCTTACAGCTCATGCGTGTGCATCTAAATGTAGTTCTGGAAAATAATAAAAGGTTAAAGGACTTTGGAAGGGGAAACAGATACTTGAACAATTTGTACTGTTCAGTGGTTGAGACTGATGGCAATAGTGCATAGGAAAATTAGTCTCAAAATACCTTGTCTGAAGAAAAATACCAACTGCAGAAAGATCAAAAATAAAAATGCAGCAAATGGTAAAGAGCAGGGGGACATTCCGTTTTGAATGCCTGTGTTACAAATGCATTCCTTGGAAACAAGAAGATTCATTATTTGAACATCGAGAATCTGAGAAAGTAATAAAAATGTATGTTTTGTGAGACTAACAGATGGGTTGAGTTTATATTAGATTAATTACTACTGATTGTTGCTTGCCAGCTTACCCGTGCTTTTTTTGCTCCTCAAGCTGTGAAATCTTAATGGGCTTTTGACAGCTTGCACTCTGTGACTGCAGTAATACTCAAAAGCACAGTGACTCAAAGGGCCACTGTCAGACTGCTGTTGGATTGTGTTATGATTACAGTAATCTCAGTTTCTGGGGTTTCAGACATGCAGTTTTCCTTATTAGCCAGCATTGGAGCTGCAGTGGGGTTTCCTTATATAGCAAAGGCAGGAAGGTGACTGCAGCTCACTCCAGACATGGAGGGGAGGCAGGGGCAGAGAGAGCAAGCCAGGACTGGAGAGGGGAGGAAAAAGACAAACTGGACTTGGCTTGAGAAAAGTCTGATGATGGGAATTAACACTGAGTGTGTTCAGGCTGTTTGGGAGAGTGAGGTGGAAACCTGCAGGATATCACTGCAGGAAGCAGAGCATTGTTTCAGCCTTTGGGAGCTGGGAGGACGAGCAGGGCAGGGCAGCTTGGAGAGTGACTGGAGGGGTGCTGCATTTGCAGAGGAGTAAGGATACTGCTGTTCCAGATGTTCCCAGTATTGAGCAGTTCCTTTATACCTAGAAATCAAGTGGTTGGAAAAAGGAATTCTCCAGAGCTGTGTTGTTTTGTTCCTATGTTTGGTTTTCCCCATCTGTACTCTTACTTGTGAGTTTACTGGGCTTTTCTGTGGGAAACAGATTCAGACATGATGTGGAAGATGAACAAGATCCCACCACCACCTTAATCCTGGTTTTTCAGAGCTGAGTCAAAATGGGGAAACATCTTGTAAAGAAGGTTTCTGAGGGCTAGAATGAAATTGGTTAGGGGCATAGTGATTTAAAAAAAAGTGATTTAGGAAAAAAGTCATCAATCCAGGCTGCCAAAGTTAAAGTACAGCTAAAATATTTACCTTTGAATTTCAAATTCACTCTAGAGGATTCTATAATTCTGATTTCCACATGTATATTCATGTGCTTCATGTGTACTTTATGGGGCTTACTTAAATGATGTCTCCTCTAGTTAATGGGCCATTAAATGAGAGGCTGTAATTGCCACCTTTGTGGCTGCCTCAGAGTGGGCAAGAGAGTGTGTTAATTCTTTATAAAAAGGACAGGATAGTGCATTTGAGAATAGGAGCTTGATGAGAATCTCTCATCCCATGCAAGTGACAGCCTACTCACCCCATGCTGGGAAACGTGCCTGCTCTGCTCCTCTCCCTGCTGAAGGTTTTTTAGGAGGCAAGTAGAAGAATGATGTCAAATACTTCTGTTTCCAGTTATTTCTCCATGTTTTAACTAACAGGCTGTTGAACATGAAGTCTGTGCTGCAGCAGCTTTTACCTTTTGTAAAGGTAAAATGAGAAAAGTTTGTTTTTCCTTTTGCTGCTCTTTCCTTCAGTATTGGAGACTGGAGGGATACAGGTGCTGTCAGGTTCACCTGTGTAACAAGGCTTGGTGTTTCACAGAAGGAAGAAACTGCTACCCAAAAATTGGTCCCCATCCTTACAGAGAAGGCTTCAGTCTCTTCTCCTTTGGACCTTTCTTCTGACCATCAAAGCCAGGTTTGCTGTGTAATGTGGTAGCTCTCAATGCGAAATCATCTTAATCACCCACCCATGTTTGCCAAGAGACAAAGTATGTATTGAGTCCCTTTATATCTTAATTTCGTTTCTTTATGGTGCTTGTAGCTATTTTCAAATCCTCCCTCGGTAAGTTGCCTTTTGTGAGTTTATTCAGCTGCAGACATTATATGCACTTGCTTTGGCAGCTGGAACAAAAGCAGAATAATGACAATTAAAATTCGCTGGCAGTTGTATTTGTGCTTTGCACGCAGGATTTGTTGTAGTGCAAATCTTCGTGGGCTAATGAAGTTAAAGCAGGGCTTTAGATAGTATTCTTTTAAACAAAAGCAGCTTGCCTAAAACTGTCTCTGCTAGTGTTTTCCTTCTAAAACAATGAGAGCAAATGCAGGTTTAAAAATGGAATATAATTTATGAGGCTCTAGCCTTGGGCATGAGTCCTTGTGTAACTGGAATTTAAAGTCTAAAATGAATATTAATGAGGTGGGGAGGCTTGCAGACCTGTCCTTTAATACTAATCCATTGTGAGTGGAGCAGCTCTAGCAATGAGCTGATACTGGCACAGAGACAAGAGGAATTGACTGCTCTTAGAAAGTGCCTCATCAGTCAAAGTCTTCACAGGCTCCTGAATACTTGTCCTGATCAGATACAGAAGGGCACCTGAACATTTCTGGTGTCAGGACCGTGGCTGCTGGAGCTGTGTGCTTTCCCTGGGGACACTCCTGCATGCTGGCTTTCAGCTCCAGCCCGTTGCATGGATGGAAGCGTAATGGAAGGGTGAGTTACAGGGCAGCTCTGGAGGAGAGCTGGGAACCTTCCGTTTGGTGTTTAGGGCAGAGTCATGGTCACTTAGACTGGGTGACATCCGTGTTAGTAGCTCCCTGCCCCTGATTATTACTGTCAAAAAGGTTCTAAAATGCTTAAGTGATTTCATAACTCTTAACTGTGTGTAAAAGAAATGTGCCAAGTGACTGAAGCTTCCCCTCATTTTCAGGAAGGAAGATAGTTTGTATTAACTGTTTTGATCTAAATAATGTTGTTTAGATTATGAACTCCCTGAAAATGGGATGTTTGTGGGCCAGCCCACCTCCTCCTAATTCACAGAGGCTGAAGCTGGGAGCTGAGAGAAGTCACCTTAAAAATGCTGAGCCCCTTCATTTTGCTCTGTAGTTAGGGCAGGAGTTGGCAAATCTGTCAGCAGCTGGCTGGGGAAGCCAGTTGTAATAAACCTCTTTACCTCTTCCCTTGTCTTGGTCTGTGCTCCAAATGCACTGATGTGCTGCTAACTTCTCTAGTTTGAGAGAAGAGTTTTGGAGTGTAAGTACAGCAGATTTGAAGAGTTCCTCTAAAAGCTGAAGTACTAACATTGATCCCGATTTCATTTGTTGGATGTTATGTGCATGACTTTTGGTAAAGTTGTGCATTTATTCTATGAGTTAAAGGTGTCTTGTGACACATTCAAAGCCTATACTCAAAGTGATCACTTTCCTTGCCTCTAGCTCAAGGGCAAGGCACCAAGATCTGTATTTCCTTATATGCAAAATCCATTAGACTTTAACCAGGTACTAAAGGTAACATAGTCCTGTGTCCATTGTCACAGAAATACATTTAACTTTGTGGAAAGTGGGCTACTTCCTTGTTGGGGATTGAAAGTTATATAGTTACTACTAAATTGTTGCCTTTAATATTCACAGAATCACATAGTCCAGAACGGACATTGTGAGATGGGAAATTAAACTGAGAGATAGAGAAGCTCCAAATTAATTATTTTTCAGAACCTAAATGGGGAAAAAGCAGTCAGTGAAACTCATAATAATAATTATATTCTTTATATTAATTAATTCAAATACTGCAGGAAGGTGTTGTTTTACACTATAGTTCTGTATTTAGATCTGCTAATGGAAGGTTGCAGGCTGAGCATAGCTCATTCCAGAGTTCTTGCCAAAGTTTCTGAAGGATTCTCTTTGTCATGCAAGCTTTCCCCCATGGCATGGTGCTTGCATGCTGTACATGCCTCTGCTGCCACATTAAGTAATAGTGTCTCTTTACTAAATCTAGAGTAAATGCATGGTTATTTGTGCTATTGGAAGAAGTCACAAATACATAAAAATACTTCTTTCCCTCCCTTGGGTCTAAGGTCATTGTTAAGCCCTGCACCTCTTGAGCAGCTCTAATATTTGTTCTTTTCTTAGGTCCTGGAATGGGGGCCTTTAATTCCCACAATCAGTGGTAGTAAAAAAGCTGAAGGCTGTGTGGAAGTGCTTGGTGCCCATGTGGATGGTCTCCTGTTCCACGGAGAGTGGCTGGGTGGTGTTCCCAGTGCCAGGAATGCTGCTGGAGGTGCTGCCACAAGGCCAGCAGCATCCCTGCCCTGTCCATGTGGAATGGCTTGGCAGGGGCAGGGCTTTCAGCTCAGAGGGCTGAAATTCCTGTGCCACTGTATGCACCAAGCTGGTGTGTCTTAAAAACCTTGGGGCAGTTTTGACCTAGAATTTATGGTTTACTCTTGCCCTTTAAAAGGGCAGAATGGTAATAGTAGAACCTAAAGCTTTGAAAATATTCTATGAGCTAGGAAAGGTTTAACTCTGTTTTACAGGTGGAAAAGCCAAGGCACAGAGATTGAATTGGGGATTTACAGAGGGGTCTGGCAGCTGAGATTGGTCTCATCTCTGGAGGTTTAAGTCCAGCCTCTGAGGCAGCCTTGGGTTGCCCATGTCCCTTTAGGGTGTTACATGCTAACATCTAACACCTTGGTAGAACTATCTCAGCTCTACGAGCTGTGCTCAAGTCATCCTGTACCCCAGGCAAGCTCTGTTCCCTTGTTTGTTAAATAGCCTGAAAACCATTCCCTGCCAGGCAGTAAAGCAAGCACAGCCATCTCCCCCCTGGCTTTTGCCCTGCAAGAGTTCCTCACTCACCTGGTTCTGTTTTGTCTGTACTTACCTTGGTTTCATTTTGTGTTTTAACAGCATATTTGTTATTTTGCTGTACAAACCCAGCTGGAAGCACACCACTTGTTTTTGCTGTGAGAGGAGCAGCCAGCTCTGTACCCACACGTCTGGACCTGACATCTCTTAGGTCAGAATGATAAAGGTACAGTATCTTATCTCCATCACTCACCTGATTGTTGCAGGGGAGAGTGCATGTGCACCCATCCTGTGGTAGAACACACATCTGTTGGGATTGAAGCAGTGAAGATGTGGCCCTGCTCAAAGGCAGGCCCATAGTGAGAGCCTGTCATTTCATGTGCTCATGCCTGATGGATTCATCTCAATGTTAGATCACTTGTAATCAGAGATAATTTTATTACAGCTTGTTGGCTGAGTGGGAAAGGAAGGCACAGATTAAAACTGAAAGCAGATTTGCTTCTACTTCTCTAGAATTAATTTCCTTCTTAGGTCATCCAGCATCTTGGTATCTGTTCTGTTTGTATACTTGTCCTCCATGGACACAAACTTACAGGTAAGAACTCTATTCAAAAAACCCATATCTTACACAGGGCAAAACAAAAAGGAGAACCAAATGGACAAGGAACATCATTTGGGTGCATTGTGGCTGCATATTTAACTGTGTAGGTAGAAATAAATTAAAAGATCCAAGATCTAGGGGGTTCACAAGTATGCCTACATGGAGTTCATGGCAAGTACACACGTGCAAGGTGTTTTAGAGACTAAAGGAAATGGCTCTGTGTGCTTAGCATCAGATATAGAAACAGTGCTTAAGGCATAATAGGCATGTGAGTTCTGATGGAGGATAAACCCTCCTGAATGGTCATTTTGAGTCCATTCATTGTTCCCTCTATTCCCATACTTAAGAAACTGGATGTGCAAGAAATTCCCACATGTGTTATATTTGTGTTGTGTTGAAGCCAATATCCTGCAGCAGTTATCAGTGTCACTGAAAAATAGAATAGCTCTTGGATAAATGACAGTCTTGTCACTGCTTGGCTGGAGCCAATGTGCTGTCCTTAAGTTACAGCTAAAGCAAAGTAAAATTGGATTAAAATAAGCGAAGGAACAAAGAAATGCAGAGAAGGCACTGCTCAGTGACTCCGAGGTCTGGCTGTCATCTCGTATTGTTTCCGTGCCCTGGAGTATCTGTTATCAGTGATTCAGGAAGTGAACTGCTGGGATATGGATAGAACTTAGTACTGCTGATAAGGCAGTGAAATGATTGAAATGCCTGGTGTAGTGTCAGATAAGATGAAATGCCTGGTTTATCACACAAGCAGAATTCTAGCAAAATCCAGGGAGGCTGTGCAGCTTTATTCAGTAAAAGGCTGCAGGCTACCGGGGTGACCACCAGACAAGACAAACAGAATGGGGACTTTATATCAAGAATCTGCCCTGCACAGATCCCTACGTTTGAGCATGGGAGGATTTTGTGTTTCAGATTACATAAAGAGATTTACGGTAAGGGACTCCTTGGTGCTTTATTGTGAGCCTGGCTTGAAACTGAAAACTTTCTGGAGGGCACAGAATTGGTTTGTGTGCCTTTTGTAACATGCTGTGTGTGTTTGGCATTCTTGGCCTGGTTGTGCAGCCTGTTGGCTTGCAAAACACCTGCCAGAGTCAAGGAGGTGTTTCTGAAATGATGACTGCAAGCTCTGCCTTTGTAAATAAATTTACTTTTCATGGGAGCCTCGGCACATTAAAACTTTTATTCTGACTGGAATATTTGTTGTATAGGATGGCAGACTGACATTCAAATTATGTGGAGGTTGGTTGTTACTGCTTTTTGCTTTGCTTGTCATATGTCTGTGAGTTTTAAGACAATGACTCTGTTGGGCAGGCTGACCCTGAGGTGATTTAATGAGCAGCCAAGTTCTGCATGAGCCCATTTGACCTGCAGGAAAAGCAGTGCAGTCACCTTGAGCAGGGTGCTCTGGGGTAGTCCTGGGCAGCTGAGAGATCAGAACCCCACAGTGCAAAGGTGTGAGGAGCAAAGCAAAGGAGCTGTCCCCGAAGCTGGAGCACTGATGGGCAGAGCACAGACCCTGTGAGCACAGAGAGCCTGGAGACACCACTGGGGGCAGAGAGAATGGGAATCTGCTTTTCTACCTTTGTAAGCTACTCGTTAAAATCCACTGTGTTCTCAAGCTACCTGTGATGTTCCGTTTCAGTTGCTATGGTGGTAGAAAGTCTAGGAAAAGTATTTGTTTTCAGCAGCCTGTTTGCATTTACCTACTTTTTGAGCTGCTGAAAAGACCAGGAGTAGAAAATGTACTGAAGCAACTTTAAATAGAATTTCATGGACATATGAAAATGTTCAAGAAATTAAAAAATAATAATTGTAGGAGTTACATTGTAAATTAGAATAGATCAGATTGTTGTGGGTTTGTTGAAACCGTTCTCTTTCAAAATTTTGAAGAATGGATTTCCTGATGTATTTTGTTCAATAATAACTGTAATGGCTTTTCTTAAAGAGCTTGTATTTGTAATCACCTTTGTTTTTTAAAGAGCCAGTGGAGTAAATGAAGTAAATCAACAACAGTAAACCAAATTCTGGCTCAGTTGAAGAAAGGACAAAATTTTTACCTATTTCAACAAGTAGGATATTGTTCCAAAGTCTTAGATTCCTCTAATGTACCAATATGCAGTGGATCTTAATAGCCAAGAGTATGATATGATTTTTTTTTTATCATATATTACATAAGAAACAGGCTCAGTTGACCAGACACATTTCATATCCTGATGAATGCGTGTTTTGTTGTCTATTTATGGAAACGTAGCAGAAAAACATTTTGGTCTATTCATTTGAATATACTACTCAGCTGTTCTTGTTGAAGAGATAATGATGTGTTTAAATTGTTTGTGTTCAGCTTTTTGTTCAAGGTAATAAACAGCCTGAAATATATGCAATTTTCTCTTGCTTTTTTCTGAAGGAGTGCAAATGAAATATATTTTTGGGACTACAGAAGGTGGCCCTAGAACCATAAAAACAAATGAGCCAGGGTTTTTTTCACTAGTCATGTCTGGGGGGCAGATAAGTCAGTCCTGCAGTTATCTGTCTCCATGGTATTCTGTGGCTTGGCTCTGTGCAGATCAGAGTTAGTGTTTTGCAATGGAGACTATAATGAGATTCAGAATATCTTGTTTCTCTGTAATTGATCTGTTGGGTGACTGAGTAATTCTTTCATATTCATTACTTCAATTTCCTTTTCTGTAAAATTAGTGATAATGGTGCATCTCTTCTGGAAACACATTAAGGTCCACAGGTAAAAGTTCTCTTAGGTTTAGTTTAATTTTTTTGGTTTTCTTAGTCCTCAGTGCACTAACAATCAAAACCAACTTTGTTTTGGATGTCTCGCATCGGATTACATCACTCTGGCCAGTTTACCAAACTCATTATGTTTATCTCTTGGAAAATCATTCTTTGTTTTGTTCACAAAGCTAGTACTCAAATTCATGCACTATTGCAAAGGGAAGGATGCTTTTGGAGGATGGGAGCAGCAGAGAACATACAAGGATGAATAGTCTTGGACCACACAGTCAATTCTTAGTGAAGCTGGTGAGAACTGCTCTAATGTGTAAGTTTAACCCTAGGGAGAGCTCTCTTCTCCCAGTGTAGCCCACAGGTCAGGTTTGAGCCTGCCCCAGCAGGATCTGGTGGGTGTGTGTGCAGTTCTGATGTCACTGGGTGCAGGGGGAATCTGTTGTTTGTGTGCTGGAGTCTCCTGGTGCAGTGCCTGGGGATCTGCTGCTGCTCAAACAAGCGGCTGGCTCAGCTGCCTGGGCTGCTGTGGAAGGACTCAAAACCCCTGCAGCTCTGCAGCAGTGCCCTGCTTGTTTTTACAGATTGATTGGAAATCTGTTACTGCTCAGAGCTACAGTGGAGGGGGGAGTTGGTGCTCAAGCAATAAGATGAGGCATTTCTTTCTGTGAAATTAATTGTACTCAGGAGTGGCAGTGACAGGAGTGTTCTAACATGTGCCTGAAGATCAAGTGACCTGTACTTCCTTCAGGCTTTTCCTTTCTGGAGCTGAACAGTTCTCACCTACATCAATCTTCTTAACCTTAGAGTGCTGCTGTCTTTCTTCTGACTTGCTGGACCTGATTTAAATTTTATCTTCTTTTAGGACACTGCCCTTAATAAGATTTTTGAAGTCACCTAGTCATTCTCCTAAGTTAACCTTGGTGCTCCTCTCCTCATTCATGTTTGTGATTGAGGGTATGTGTTCCACTCTGTGGGGTTTTTCTGGAGGGGCTAACAGATTCCTGCTTTTGCTACTCAGAAATATTTTTCTGAGTCCTGTGTAGAATTATTTGGAACTCCTCAGGTTCTGTTGGTTCAAATCATGAGCTTCGTGTTCTTGCACTGCACAATTACCTTCAATTTCTTTAAGCACTTGTCTCCTGTTTAGTGGAGGGGATGCACTGCAGAGCTGCTGATGGAGATCAGGCCTTGGCACCTGCAGTTCAGGCTCCTGTTTTACCTGGGGACTCACTCTTGTCTCTCCTCAGCAGAGCAGCTCTGGGATCCAGGCTCTGGACAGTCCATGTGCTGCAGGGCCCAGACAGCCCTGCTGGGGTCCAGATTCTTGGCAGGCTGTGTGCACACTGCTGTGCAGAGCCCACACAGGCACACAGACTGAAAGGAATTAATGGAATTGGTAAACCATTCTGAAGGATTGGGACTTTTAGAAAAATACATGATTGGAAAATTTCTGAGCATCTCAGTTGTTAATGCTGTCTCCCCAGGTTTTGTGGGAACTTAAGAGGAAGATGTCATGTGCTCCAATTTAAATTTTGCACCATAGTGGTCTGCAATCTAAATATATTCTATTGAGTATTCTTTCAGACAGTTCATATCCCAGAAACTAAAGTAGTAAACTATATATAGTCTGTGACATTACAAACCAGGTTTGTTTTCACCTTCTCCATGGCTGAATTGAGATAGCAGGAGCTAACAGGTCCTCCTGCTGTTGTCTTCTATATTTGTGGCTCACCTTTCTCTCATTTGTGTCCTTGTGTTGCTGTTCAGGCTTGAGCAGTCTCTGTGCTTTCTGACTCCCCTATCTTGGGCATACTTCTGATTTCAGATCCTGAATGCTTCCCTTCGGAGACCTGATTCCTTCCAGCACTGTCACTGCA